CTTCATATTGCGGGCTGGGTTCTCGCGATTGTGATGGACTTAACCCCACAGTGGGCTTTAGTCCTAATCGATCCTGATCAACCTTGCGCAGATAGGGCTGATGCCGGTACCACCCACTGCCTTGGACGTAGTCATACCTCCGAAACCCTGGGGGTGACCAGCGCTCCCCGTTAGGAGTCATGTCATCTTCTTCCACGTCGGACTCCTCTGACCGAAATCCTGAATGTTGTGACGGTAGACCAAACGCCGGAGAACGGTGAGCATTATTTGGGTTCTCAAAGTCTTCGAGCGACGCATCCAATGAGGGATGCTCGTCAAAGACGTTATCCAGCTCATCCAACATGGTGGACGGCGTTGCGCACAACCTATACGACGTTATCAAAGCCACTTCAATCGTTGCGACGCTGAAGCGACGACTTGAGTGGACGAAAACAGTTCCTAGATTGTCGCGGTGAGGTGATAGTTTGTGGAGGGGTTAGTCGCAAGCGCACTAAGACGAGACGGGATCGGTCTTATGCGCTGTCGCGATAAGTGGTGGGGAGAAGGTAAACAGGTGGTAGGTAGGAAAAGACAAGTAACGAAGAGTAGTCTGCAGGTCAGAACGAAGATACAGGAATGGACAGACGCAAGACATGGGAATGCGAAAGGGAGTAGATGCCAGCGGACGAGGCCTTGATGCCTGAGGACGGAGCGGCCGACTAACTGGGTTGCGACAAGTCACGCTCGCTTTCCCGGGGTAGGTAGTAGATACGGAGTACTTGCAGCAGTTACAGAGGCGCTTGCATTAGAAACGTTGTGGCACAGTGATCAGCAGTCCGCTGTAAATGCCGTTAGTTTTGACGACTTGGAATCAACCAACAACAGGATATCATCAAGTGTTCTGCGGGTAGTCATTCAAGTTCTCAAAGGAATGCGGTTCGTGTTCCTTTCTATTTCGTGCCCAGGTACCAAAGGAGAATGAACCAGCGATACCCCCCCCTCGCATCGCTCTTTGGGGTTTGAGTTGTTTTATCGGGAGAGCAAGAGAGGGGCGCAGGTGGTGGCTGGGCCAATGGCGGTGGACAGTCCAGGGGGTCATGTGCCAACGTGTTCCAGACCCGTACTGTTCCGTACAGGTCCATCGTAGTTACTGTCCTGTCCTTGGGGATAGGTACCCTCTGGTAGGTTTGCTCTAGACTAGTGGTAAGATATCGTCGTGGTTAGTCACTGAAACACTGGTTGCGAGTGTTCCCTCGAGAAATCCAGTCCAATCTGCCGGTCCAATAACATCCACGGCCGGTAGGGATCGACCACCAGTTTGCCATAACTCTCCCACTGCTGGTCCAGGACGATAGGACAGGACTCGTCCAAGTGGACCATGATAGCTCCTAGAGAGAAATCATCTTCACACCGTAAGAACCTTGAGGGGCTTCTCGCTCGAGTCGGATCAAGGCAACGGCCGGCAAGTGAGCGTCGAACATCTCGGGAATAAAGGCCCAACCCAAAGTGCCCGAATCGGGATTTCCATACATCCACGTGATAAACCAATGACGCACGTGGTGTAATCACGGGAACTCAACGGGCGTCTGTGGTTAGTCCAAACAAGAGCGTGAGAGAAGAGAAGACTGTCGTCATGAGAGGAGATATCTTTATTCATTACAGCCTTACGGCCTGAAACTTAACCATGATACATAGAGCTGAAAAACATGACCATCGAGAGGAAAATGTGGAAAGGTTATGGGCCGCCATAGACAAGCTCGTGAAGGAAACGTGTCTCTATGAAACCCGCAAATCCTGCGCACAAAGGAAAAATCACGTCTATTGCGAGTAAACAAGGTATTGAGTAATATTACATGCCCTGTCCGTCAAACTGCCGAGGATCTGGGAACGTATCAGATCCGACGCGACAAGTCGCTTGAACCGGGTCGAAGAAAGAATTTTATTCACGTTAAAAAAGAGAGTTTAAGCACAGCTCTCCTTGAGGTAACTGATAGAGCATGACCAGTCAGCACACAAATGCTATTGTAATAGCAAGACATAACGAGTAAACATACGTGATGAGGTCGTTCCTCTCCTTGCCCTTCTTGAGGCCACCGAAGGCCATCTTGGTACCGGGAATGAACTTCTTGGGGTTCTCGAGGTACTTGAACTACATGGAATTAGTCAACCCATAATTGACGGGAGCACGAAGAACAATGCATACCAGAGTGTTCTCATCCCAGGTGACACCGGCCTGCTTGTTGGCATCGGTGTAGGCGTAGCCCTCAACGGAACCGGTCTGACGGCCAAAGAGACCGTTGAGCTTGGGGCCGACCTTGTTGGCACCATCCGCCTCGACGGTGTGGCACTGAGCGCAGCGAGTCTATAGATAATGTTAGCCTTTGCGCAGCAAGCCTTCTATGAATCGATGCCAGCTTACCTGGAAGAGCTTGGCACCCTTGGCAGAGTCACCTGGAGGAAATAGGATGTTAGCCGTCTGCTTCGCTTTCTCTGCAGCCTCAAGTTCGGCCTCGCGCATGTCGATGGTAGTAAGAAGGCAGAAAATGTCAAAGCTGGTCATGTTGCTCAAAATAATTGTGTATTGTGGGCGCATCCAGATATTGATTCTTCAATGATATGGGATGCGAAGAGAAAAGTCGCAGACTGTCCATTGTCTAGAGAACACAGAGCTGTTGGGGAAATTTTTGTGCTCCTCGAACAGCAGTAACAATCATTCACTGAATCCCAGGAACCAATTCGTGTTTGTTTGGACACCAGCAGTGAATGACAGGATGGGACGCGCTTGACGAGCAACGGGGAAGCAGCAAGCCAGGGAGCGAGGTAGCTTACCAGGAGCGAAACCAGCGTCCTTGCCCATTGTGAATGTGTGTAGTAAAGTCTAAAGAGACTGGAAAGATGTTAAAAGGATAGTATACAAAAAGAGGGTATCCCAAAAGCGAATTGAGGAAAATCAACTGAAGGAGAAAAAAAAAAAACGGGCAGGAAGAAAAACTTGCGATCGCAGCAATTTGTACAAAGCGCCGTCTTCGCCCCCGAGGCCTCCCGTGATTCTAGCCTCGGCCAATCAGCGGCAGGATGATTCAGCACTCAACGGGCTCTCTCGGGACAAGGGAAACAACCGGTGTCTTTTTTCAGCACCTATTTTTGTTTCCTTGGTTCTGCATTTTTATGGGGGAGACGGCGTCTCATACGGCTACAAAAGATGCAACGACGTTACGTATGCTTACATTGCCCGGGAATAGAACCCTGTCTCGTATAGTAATCGACGCCCTATTACATCTTTCTCTTTACGGTACTATTGCGATGAGCATCAGTCAAAGTCATTTTGCAAAGGCCGGGTTTGCATAGGTATGATCTCATACCTCGACGGTGTTTGACCCAACAAAAGATTACGGGGAGAACTGGGCCGAAGCGGAAATGGATGGACCCGGCCTTTGGAAATGCCTGCCTTGCTATTTGTCCCCCAACGGGCAGAATTCTCGTGAACTGGTCTGTGTGTCCAGCCGCCGCCTTTGGCCCGAATTGAGGTCTGAGCCTGAGGCAGTTATATCCCGCTCTTTACCTAAGATAAATCCTATTCAATGAATACAACTTGTCCAGCCGGGGGAGCCCACGATACCCTCTTCCTAGACGGCCGCCTGGGGTGAATCAATCTCTGCCCCAACCGTGTGGTCACCTCTCCAGAACATCTGTACAAGCCTAGCAGCCCAATTGCTACCAAGATTAGATTCTTTGAAAAATCTCATCGAACCTCTAATTCTCTTGCACCATCCTATTTCCGTCACCTTCAGCTAGGCTGCTTGCACGAAGTGGTCTAGGAGCATTTTGAGTGTATAGAATATAGTTCCACATCTCTTCCTGTTTTCGCCTTTCTTCCCCCTAGTAAAGGTGTTACTCTTCAAAGCTGATGAACCCTCGTGTCAACCTCTCTGGTTTCAGCTCTACAGAGATGCACATACTTCCTCGCCTCCGTGGACGGCTGCAATACAGCATTGGATTTCGTAAACCAAAGAGAACATGCGTCTTGTGGTCCTATACATACGCTATCTTGTCTGTCATGTATGAAATCTCTAGCCAACGACAGTAAGGAAATGCAGTTCACCTGAGTGCAACTTGACAGGAAAAGAACGCTCGCTTGAATCTAGTATTTCCCGTTGGGCTCATAATGGCATACCAGGTAAATGCTTAAAACATACCAGACAGTGTGACAAATAACTGTGTTCTCTTTCCTCCATGGAACCAAGTTAGATGTTCTAGAACTCTGGGCCAGTCTTGCCAATCAACTTCAAATAGTACAAGGACTACTACTGAAATAGCCCCAAGCTGTAATTATAGTTTAGACTTGACGTTCCGAACTACTGATCGTCGCGCATGACATTGAGAGCCCTAGCCGAGGAACTTGACAAAGTGCATCTCCGGGGCATATAATGAGATGTTTGGGAAAGAAAGACATACACTAACTTACTACAAGACTAAGAGTGAATGAAGCATCTGAAAACTCGGGGGAAATCCGCCTATCTTGGAAAAGCTCTAGCGTAGGGTCAGATTCTCTTGCTCTTTATCATGAGCGAAATATGGTCAACTCCGGACAATCCTTGTGTATGCATCCGTGGGTTTGTCAGAACATGGCATCGATTGGCCTGTAATAATAGGCCATTTGATGTGTTATTCTTTCTAATGTGCAACGTAATTAAGTGGTTCGCGAGTGAGCAATAAGTATCGAGAATAAAGGTATGCTTGGAGATATGCGGTCGACTGCATTGGTATCACAATGCCCCTGCTTTGCAGTAGTTTTCTAGCTATAGAAGCAGTATATATTCCAGTCAGCCATCTTGAAGAACAATATCAAAGGAGCGAATTAAAAATCCAAGGTTCAACTTCCATCAAACAACCCCAATGTTCATACATATGCGTGAATCACGTGATTAAACACCGGCGTCAACCCCAGCGGGAAAAAAGTTCCAACTCCGCAGAGCGATCACTCCACCTCCAACATCCTTCCCCCAACAACACGCACAGCAATGGCCCCGGTCACAATCCCACAATTCCTCCTACCGCGGGGAATCCCGTCGACGCGGGCCCTCCAGTCCCTCTCGCGCGCAAACGCAACCCACCACCGCATCAGGACCACGACCCGCCGCTGCGCATCAGACAACAGCAAGCCGCGAGTCCTAGAACAGCCCGACAAGTTCCGGCCGCCATCGCACCCCGCGCGCAGGGTTGTGCAAACACGCAATGGAAGAGTCATTGGCCGAGAGCCGATCAACTATGGTCCCAAGCTCACGGAGAAAGAGAGGGAGGAGCAGGAGCGCAAGCAGTACCCGAATATGTTCCCACCTGAGGGCACAGTTATGTATAAGTTTTTGACAAATCGGTGGATTCATATCTGGATTGCGATGGTGAGTTCCCCCCCCCCCCCTCTTTTTTGTGAATTATGGAACTTTTAGGGTTTAATACTTGGTTCAATGCTGATCGGATGTGGTTGTTTAGAGCGTACTCACAACTTTGGCTACGTTTACCTTCACTACGAACTTTAAGCGATCGTCGCCATTTGCGCACTTACTTCCGTCTTGGTCGGATCTTCTTTGGCACCCCATTGATACAGTTTCTCAGGCGCTGGCTGTTTTCCGCATGCATGTGCAGCATACCTCCGTACAAACGAGGGAGAAGCGGCACCAGCGGATTGAGGATGCGGAGAAGAGACGACAGTACCGTATTGCTCATGGGTTGGAGGAGCCGACTGAGGAGCAGGCCAAGACTGAAACTGACGTGGTTGATGATCAGTCTCCGATAGCTGCTGACGCGGAGGCGAAGCAAGGAAATGGGGAATATGTTGATTGGGAGGGAAAGAAGATGCCTGTCAAGAAATGGTTAGGCATCTGGTAAGGGTGGCTCTTCCTGTGCCGATATTGGGGTTGTGTGGATGGGTGGTTGGATGATTGGGCGACTGGGGTGTATAAACACTGCTGGAGAGCTTACTATGTAGATTAGCTTTGCATATCTTTGGATTTTGTCTTAGCATTGTATTATTCATTATGTACATGACGTCTCTTGTCTTTTGATGTGATGATCCATCTTTGCCGGGAGGCTGCTGATTCGGCACTGTAAGTAATTGCCTTGGGTCCTGCTGCCAGGGTATTCACGCAAAGCGCACAGAAGACCTCCTACATTGTAGCGAATCAGAAGCGATACGCATACTTCTGCTGAGTATTCCTATTATCGCCGCCGACAAAGAGTATGTGGTAGAAGACGTATAGAGGGCGCACATAGGGCAAGGTGTCATCCGTATTCGGGACAATGAAGTGTCGCATCAATTTATTCACCCGACTTGAACGCCCTCTAAACCCTCAAGAACCTCCTCACCAACACCACCTTTCTCGAGCACGAGCTTAGCCATGCGAGCAACCGTGCTCCTCTTCACACCTCCACGACGGGGCCTCCAAACTCCTGGAACCTCTTCCTCGCCTGTGGATGGGTTCAGAGTGGCAGCTTCTTCGGCAGCAGCTGCAGAACCTAACGTAGTCACATTTTCCGAGTTAGGCACACCAGGTTGCGTTAACCTGGAAGGAGGGTCGATCGTGCGGATGGAAACGAGCTTCAGGCTATCGGAATTGCTATCCCGAGTAACAGAGATGGCCAGAACCGTATCAGCAACAGCAATCTCCTCTCTATCAGGATCGAAGATAATGTTTTCGCCCACAGAGACGACGAGCAACGTTACTGGGGGGCGAACTTGTTGGGAAGAAGTAGGGGATACCGTCGAGGTAGAGCGTGGATACAGGTATTCAGCAGCATCCCAATCATCATCGAAAAACGGATCTTCCTCGCCTTGGGACTTCAACTTCGGAAGCTTCGTCGACAGGAGCGCCAGATGAGTTGTTAAGGAGAGTAATGGAAGCGGATATGATTGAGGTTGGGAGAGAAGAAGAACCTAAATCAACAGCATTAGAGTCGACCACGCAGTAAAATTTAACAAGCACTTTACATCAATATACAAACGCCAATGCCACCGTTTGTTGATCACCAGCCTTCCCTTCAGGCCACCAGCCATCTCGCCATTTCCAGAGCCCTCACTTGATACAGACTCAACCAGAGGCTCTCGCATCATCTCGGACAAGAAAACTGGCAAAGCATCGTCATCCCGGAACCCTGGGATCTCGATCGACATCTGCACCCATGACCCATGTCCAGAACTCGACTCTTGACTTCCCTCGCCGTCGGTATTTCCTGCGTATTCTTCCTGGGTCTGTTGCGGCAATTTGAGCGCATCTGCCGAGACCGCTGTTTTTTCTACTTCTGCCTTTACTCCGACGATTGCTTGGGTGCCGTCCGCAAAACCAACACGTGCGCTACCGTTAGTTCCGGGAAGGATATCAGTCTCCGCTGTCAAGGGCCGAAATTGTGTCGCCGAGCGTCCATCCGGTCGAATTGGGTTACCTGGAAGAGCAAGAGATGTGTAGAGATAAGAAAGCTCTGCAGGCGAGATATGTGGGGTTTGGGAGGCGGACGATGCCTGCCTTTGGGCCGCCATTGGAGCAGACAACGTAAGACAGAAAGAAAGAAAAGGAAAAGGAAAATAAAATCGAAACGATCGAGGCTGAGTCGGAAGTAAAGACTCTGAATTATGTGGGTATTGTCACACAACCTGATAGCTCCGCGGCGATCTGTTCAGCCGTGAGTGAGTGGAGTATTTTTCAGTCCCAAAATAATCAGTCAGTCTAATGTATGGTGACCTCTTTGAAAAGATAGCAACACGTCTTGAATATGCGATCTATTCACAGGAGCACAATATTCATAGCCAATATTAAGATAATGTGCTACACAGGAATAAGTTGAACTAGCATACAAAAGTAGCACTTGCTATGGAAATTCTGTGAAAGGCGGACAATCGTTATTCCCGGCCCGCTCCACGTTCCCATCAAGGCTCATCAACTGCTACACCTGTCGATCCTACGCCAGGTAAACATGATATGATGTAAAGTACTCCGTACGGAGCACTTTATGGCCTGTTTGATTAGGTATATATGTATAAACATACGGCTGGACAGCCGAATCTAAGTAGTAGTATATTACAAGGTGTGTAGAGCCCAAGACTAGCCACCAGTGGTCCTTCCCAGCAACAAGAAAAATTGTACATGAGGTGAATCGAAAATTTCGCAGAGAGATCACATCACTTCCCTAGATGAGATGCAATGATCGGCAGGTGAGAATAAGGGATGAAAGGGGAAAAGGAGAGGCTAGGGAAAGATGTTTAGGAAGTGTATAAGCGGTAGTGATGACAGGAAGTGACAAAAGAAAACAAAAAGCTGTTGGTAGTGAACAAGACATGTTGGGCAAACAATGCATATATGTATATATAAAGAACGATAGCAGACCTCGCGACTCGCGCATTTGGTATCAAAACAATGTGCAAACAAGAACACCGCAAACGAAAGACAAGATATGAAAACCGCATGCCGAAACCAGGTTGCGAGGCCAACTATATCTAAAAAGGCCTTTGGGGTATGAAGACAACAATGAAGACAAATGAAAAGGAACCCGGGCTAATCCTTGCCCCATGCAAAAATAGGGAGAGAAGATGTTGTCACAAGAAACAAAAATGGCTAACAAAAAGAAAACAAAAAAACACCAATCACCGGAAAGACGAAAGAACACAAGACACCAGATCCTGTACGCCATGCTCGGTTAGATCGCCAATTACCGCGCGTCTCCCCTCCCGTTTTTCTCTCTTTGATAAATCCAAACAAGACTGGGAATCAAATATCAAAACACGACATCCACCGGTGGTACAACGCTCACAGGGCGAACTACCTATAGGTCGACCCTGTCATGAAGTTTGTAGGGCCTGAATGGTTCCAGTCCCCATCTTCGTAAGGCGGGGTAGGCCATTGGCGCGTACTTGTGGCAGGGTCTGTCTTGCCATCAGGAAGACCCAATCGCCTAATCGGAGTGGCATCAGAGTGGCCAAAGGAAACACCGTCACATTTTGCCGATGGAGAGGGGGTAGGATACGGACTAGGCAATGCTCGTGAGTTGTCGTTTCCCATGGCCTGATGACTATAATTCGATGACCTATCGGACGATACCTCAGTCTGCGCTAGCCGCCTCGCAGCTTTGCTTGCCGAGTGTAAGGCTTCATCGAGGAGCTCATCCTCCTCTTCTGGCGTTTCGTAGCGGTGAACAGGGTGACTTGAGAGCTGCAGTGCACGCCGAGTGCGGCTAGAGATTGGCGCACCAGTACCACTGGTTGAAACGGGGCTGTCTCCCATTGAGCGTATAGATCCTTGAGGCATGGATTGTCTCTTAACACCCTCCACGGGTGAGGTAATATGGACAGGAACATTGCCAAGTGCAGTCGAATCGAGAGAGCATTTCACACCCTGAAGGGCTTTGTCCAATTCCGACAGATCAGAGCCTTGCTTGGCGTCGTTAGCACTGGCTGTGTCCAAGGCTAAAGACGAACGATTCGACCAAGGCATACAACCAGCATTAGCCTCAACATTGTCGCTTCCCACATTTCCCTGGTTACGGCCAGATAGCCTACGAGCACGTTTGCGAAGGTGAGAGAAAAAACTCTCCTTCTGGCTGGCACCAACCAGAGGATTTCCGCCATTCAAAGCCCTTTCCGCTTCTTGCCTATGGACATCAGCGTAGTGATTGCCATGGGAGTTGAGCGAAAGCTGTCTGCCGATCTTCTTGCTCGCTTTACCGTTGTCACCGGCTAAGCATGAATTTGCTTGTGCTGTGACTGCGTTGGAAAGCGGGGATACCGGTCGGATCGAGGGCAAAATAGGCATCGGGGCACCATTTGCCCAAGTTGCACGCTTACTGGGCGCAGGCTTAGTCTTGGTAGTCTCAGGGGCCGTGCTGTATGAGACAACAGGCTGCTTTGACTGCTCATTATCGCTATCAGACCTTCCGATCAACGATCTCCTGAACCACGACGACTTGGATGTAAGAGAGGGCGAGTCACTGTTTTCCCGGGTAGGAGATTTGAAGCTCTTGTCCGAAGTTTTCCGACCCAACAGTCGGGCAGTTGAGGACCTCGGCCGCAATGGGTCAACAGCATCTGCAAAGTACTCATGATTCAAGGCTTGTGTCGAAGTTGGCCTATTCTTGGGATCCCACATCAGACACCAAGTAACAAAGTGGCTAAGAGACGTTGGCCACTGGGGTGCTTGGAGGATGCTTTCCATTGAATGAGGTGCCATCTGCGAAGAGGGTCAATTTCTACCTCGGTCGGTATATGGTGGGGGACATACCTTGGGGAAAGTGAATCCCAGTTTCTGAGCAAGACGGGAGCCATCTCTCCATTCACCACCACCGAGCTTGGAGCCCGACTTACTGTACCAGTTACCTGGGCTACCCATAATCTCGCAAACTCGCCAAACCTGATCAACTTCATTACCACCGGGAAACAATGGCTTTAATGTAGCGATTTCAACGGCCATAGCTCCGACAGCCCACATGTCCACAGGCGCGGAGTATTCACCTGCACGCAAAAGGACCTCAGGGGCACGGTACCATCTTGTGGAAACATATGTAGTGTACGGAAGCTTGGAATGGGTCTCCCTTGCGAGGCCAAAGTCGGCAATTTTCACGGTATATGTTGGAGGGGTTGAGGGGGAGTCACTAGGTTAGAGTAACGACTGAAAGCAGAGTCGCTCGGAGCGGATGTGGAGACAAGGATGTTCTCCGGTTTGATATCACGATGAAAAAAGTGGTGAGCATGGATGTGATCAAGCCCCGACAAAATTTGGTATAGGATGCTCTTCACATGCTTCCCATCGAACGGCTTGTGGTCTCGAGATTTCATCAGTTGATAGAGGTTACCATCCATGTATTCCATACAGATATGTAGCTTGCGGGAAAGAGGGTCGAGAAAGATGTCGAGAGCTGGAACGAGGTGTGGATGAGCGGGTAGGGTCCGTAGGAAGATGACTTCCCGTAATTCTAGACATGGAGCTAATGAATCGAAGGTCTTCTTCATAGTCTTAATGGCAACCTGATGCTGAGGTCAGCACAACGACGCTTCCCCACGATGCCGCAGCGGGTCTTACCATGGTTCCTCTCCGCGCGATGTTGGAACCAGCCGTCCGTACACGAGCCACAGCAACACTGCCAAAGCTACCATCTCCCACTTCCTTCATCACTTCAAACCGGTCTTCAAGGGTAGCCATTGACGTCGGTGCGGCGTTCCGCAACGACGAGTGATCGTAAGAGACGGTCATGGTGTCTCTTCTTATCCTTCTCTGCCAGCAGATGTATCAAGAGAGTTCGGATGACTGTCGGGCTTCTATCAGCCGGTCTTGTTCCGTCGCAGGGGCAAGACGTCTCCGCGGGGGATCTCACCCTATATAAAGTTGTATTGGCGGTAAAGGATATCTCTTCCAATGATATTCGGAAGGGATTCAGTCAAAGCAGGTGATCATCATTCGAAGTTCAAGCGTTATTGAGTCCACAGTAAGTGAAACGAATATGGTTCTCTTCCATCGATATACCGGTTGGGGCCAGAGGTTAAGTGGGATTGATTAGATGCAAGAAAGATGAGGAACAGGAATGAGTGGGAGAGGAGGGGGAAGGGGGTGGTCATGTAGTTCCCAGGAAGGTGGAGGAGAAGCAGATCTGGAAGCAAGATGGAAGACCCAGAGGATTGGACGTGATCACTGTAGTGATAGGAGCGGACCCGTTTTGGTGGGAACTGCTAAACGAAAGGATGATCGGAGGCCGAGTTGAAGGAGCCCCTGACGCGGTGACAGCTTTACCAACACTTTACCAGCTCTAAGACGAAACTTAGGGCCGGGCCGTGGAGACTTGCGAAGAAGCGGTCGACGACGGAGCGAGTCTTGAGGGGGGTAATAGTTTGATGGTGCAGATCACAGGGAAATAATAACGATAGGACGGTAATAATAAATATTGAAAAGAGAGAAAGAGGGAATAAAATAAAATAAAAATAATAGATCAAAACAGAGGAAAATGCAGATAGATTATTGAGGGGTCAATACAGTTGGTAAAGAGGGACGGGGGCTGACATGGACCAAAAAGGTAAATTCAAATAATTATCATTCGAATTGACAACAGGTAAGACACGCAGCCATGTAAGTCACTAAGAAAGAAGGAGGTTGGATGGTTGGGTGTGTAAGAAAAGAAAAAAACAAAACAAATAAGAACTGTAAAAAATGTAAAAAGGAAGGCAGCAATTGAGGAGTGAGTATGAATGAGTGAACGGATGCGAGTGGTCGCTGAGAGGCAAAAAGAAAGGCAGAAGTGAGCGATAGTACTAGTAGTATTGACGACGCGAAATTCAGACAATAAAAACCACCATCAGAAAATAATTTAAAACATGATTACTCTGCCTTCTCCATACTCGCAGACTAGTTTTTATCCGCTAACACAATTTGGTCACCATACCCTCTGACGATACTCCGTAATTATCCTCGCGAACTAATAATAATGCCTGCTGTCGGATGGGAGGGCCTCCACACTAACTAAAAGCGAAGACGAGTCAGGAATGGACCGGAGATCCACCCCGCTTAGGAAAAATAAATCGTCCATTATATTTCATGGAAATTGCAGAAACGATGAGCGATAAAAAAAGAAAACGAAAAAGAAAAAGGAGGCCATCGGTAACAATGGCCTCGACTGAAGACGGGTAGCCGTTACGGCAAATTGCAGAAAATATTGTAAACAGGGATTTAACACATTATTATACATGGGTTAACAATTTCCTGAGAGGTAAATGCTTTCGACACAATAAAGATCAGAGAAAAGCGTCATACTAAGAGAATAATTATCGGTCAATAGGCATCATCTGACAATCTTGGTACGCAAGGTACATTTTGATCCTTTTTTTTTCTCTGTCTTATTTTTCTTTTTCTTTTTTTGGTTCCTTTCTTTCGTTTCTTTTCTGGCCTAATCCATAAAAGGTTGAAACATTGTCGTAATGGTGTTACGCCTGAAATTTCGGGTTCAGTGGTCAGTGGAGCGGAAATTAGTATTTTCTAGCGCTATGATTGTCGCAAAAGATTAATAGAGTTACCAATAAATGTGCTCCATTTGTACAGTCATACGCTAAAATACCCAAAGCAATAAATAGTAGCCAGTTCGTAGAACGCTCCCTATTTACGGGGGAGGCGTTTACAGAACGTCCTGGTACACCAGTGATGCGGCTGATGATTCCATCCCATCTATTTCTCTCTATTTCTTTTGCTTTATGTTTGCGATTGATATCTGATTACATATATTACTATGCTCAGTAAAAGAAACTATTACCTAGGATCTCGGAAATGATTTCAAGCCACCCGACGGTTCAAGGGTTAGCATGGTAGTTTTAGAGCCACAACATCCGGCACCAGTCCCTTGTGTTGACTGCTGACACCGGGGTTTGGATAAAGCAGCCAAAGAGCTTGAAAAGCAAATGGGTCTAAGACTCATTCAGTGGTCACCATGGCACGCCGCTTTGAAGACTTAGGAGGTCCAGCCTTAATAGCGACCCACATAGTCCCCGCCTCTAGCGATCGTTAGACGGGCCCTAGCAAGGATGGCCAGGGGTTGGGCCGCGTTTTCTCATATGACTCTGTACACTGTGTACGGAAACTTACGGGGTCAAGGTACTGTCTGTATTCCGATCCCACACAGGGTCTTGAGAGTCCGGACTCCTCGAGCTCACAAATCAGACCCTCGAGTAATGTGATGTATATGCTCTGTGCAGTACCAGTCCAATCCGATTCAACCCGTACTTTTGATGGGTTGGCGATGATTCCCATTGGTATGTGGATGACCTCAGGGGGCTTTTCTTTGCATCAGAATGCTTCTTTTTTTTTTCTTTAACTTTAACTCCCTTCCTTGCTACATACACATACATCAAGACAAGAAAAAGCCAAGGTATGTTTGGGCGATGATGACCGTAACTGCATTGTTTGTGTAACCTTAGGCAGCATGGACAATGGTACACCGTTCATGCAAGTTGTTATCTGCATTGGTGGATAGTTCATCAGCTCCATCTCTTAAGGTAATCCCACCAACAGTGGCTAACCATGTAGCGTGTGGCTGACCGCCAACAGAGAAAGTCAATGTCACCGAGGGGAATGTGGTACGACTCCCCCTCTAACCTCTCGAATTATGATAGGAAAAAATGAGACTGGGTCTTGAAAGGATGGGGGGCGTAGCTTCCAAGCCCCTCAAAAAAAATTCGATCAAATCAATATTTATAACGATGTATTACATGCTTTACCGACAAGTACCCTTCACCAACTCGCTAAGAGCATTCTACGACTAATCGGTAAGGACTATGGAGTATGCCTTGATAATCTAAACTGATTACCCAGATCTGTAAGTCATCCGAGTGGTGGAAACAGGTGGATATCACAACTGTCAAACCACAGTCGCGTGGGTGATACCCCTTCCCAAACGAGAAGAAAGTACTCCGTAATTAAAGTAAATAAATGAAATAAAAAGAAAGAAACACATATTAAACTAGAAATCCATCCATTGTTTCGAAGGATACCTCAGGGGTTTCCACCAGTGCTCCGGGAAGCCTTCTTTGTTTAGACCCGTGTGACGTGTAGATTAATACTGCCAGATATGAAAAATACTTGGAAGGCGACTGATGAGCAAAAGGACATACTACCAGAGACAAGGCGAATCTTTGGGGAGCTGAGTGGAGGCGATGTACTGAGTTTGGATTCTCAGCTCACCGCTAATGTATTGGATCTCGATGCAATAATATGCGTACTCAACTACTTGTTTTGTTATCGACTGAAGGAATAGTCTCGTAACTTGCGGAGTCGTAAATGGTCCCGACCTGGCTCACATGATTTTTAGCAGATAGTCCGGCATATGCGCCGTAAATCCATAGATAGTCCTAGTACGCAATTCGAGATCCCCATTGTCTTCTGGGGCAAAGACTCTGGATGAACGGAGTATGCAAGTACTAAGTATCTGCTGCCGACATGCATGTAGGCAGTGCCACTTACAGGTCGAGTCCATGAACCATCCCACTTATCTGGAGTCAGTGCCATTCTGCATGCTACTTGGGGGATTGAACCCAAACCAATAGATCCCGACAGTTCGCTCCAAGGCTGAGACTGGTGTAGTCTGTTACTACAGCTACCGATCACTTCCGCGACGTTGTGGTGATCTCTCCACTGAGCTGAAAATCTTGGTCTGTACAACATTGTCGGTGTCCAATAGTGTACTGCTGATGCTCACAGATCCCATCCCACCTGCTTGTAATAATCTGTATACATTACAGTATGACTCGGTATTGAGTGATTCTTAAATATTCAGGTGGTAATTCGTAATGGTGCTATGCATGATATGCTTAATCCGGCTGCAGACTCCTTATGGAGAGGCCTATATCAAGATCTTACACGTCTGATATATCCACAGCGTATCCTCCAAGTTCAGCAATATATGAATCCAGCATCTGATATGTATCTGCTAGAAGCCGAGGAGTATGATTTTTTGTCTCTTTCTTGATTTGAACGCGATTAACTCATAAGTGGTGGGTAGGCCAGAGTTGATACATAGCCAGAAAAGGAAATTATGGATCACATCCATCATCAGGCGTTAGACTTGCGATAGTCAACTAACTAACTAACTGTGACCTTGTATATTACTCATCCGTGCTATTTCCTGGTTTTACGGCGTGTTATCACTGGGTATACCTTTTTCCTTTCTTCTCCCTCTCTCTTTTTGAAGAGAATAAAATAAATAAATAAATCTAGTATTATCATTCCGTTATTCCTCTTGATTTCAGGCTAAAATGAATCGTTTCTCGTCGGACAAAGACAATAATGCATCAGAAAGAAAATTTACGCTCGGAATTCATGTTAGATGACATGATACAACCAGGATTAGCACCAGTACAATATATTGCCCCGGTTACATATTCCCTGGTTTTAGACTAACAATCCCCTACATGGGCAACGTGGGCTCGAAAAGTTTGTTCCTGCAAACCTACGGTTTGCAGGAACAAACAAAAATGAGAAAAGCGTGAATAGAAAAGGGGGGGAAGAAAACTAAAATAAAATAAACAAAATCAGAGACGGAACGATAGGAAAAAAAAAAAAAAAAAAGTTGGAGTTGTCACCTACCAGGCAGACTGCCTGAATACAGAGAAATGGAGAAGAGAATCCGCGGAAAGACACCGCACACACAACCACCCCCATATTTAGTATCCACCCATTAGTAGCCACGGTCGGGAAATGATCCATAAGGGGATGTGATC